GATAGAATTTTTTGGCCTTAATTCTAAGCGGTATGTGTGGAGAAAACCAGGCACTGCTCATCACCTGTCCAATACAGTCCCAGCAGTGAAGCATGGTGGTGGCAGCATCATGCTGTGGGGGTGTTTTTCAGCTGCAGGGACAGGACGACTGGTTGGAATTGAGGGAAAGATGAATGCGGCCAAGTACAGGGATATCCTGGACGAAAACCTTCTCCAGAGTGCTCAGGACCTCAGACTGGGCCGAAGGTTTACCTTCCAACAAGACAATGACCCTAAGCACACAGCTAAAATAACGAAGGAGTGGCTTCACAGCAACTCTGTGACTGTTCTTGAATGGCCCAGCCAGAGCCCTGACTTAAACCCAATTTAGCATCTCTGGAGAGACCTAAAAATGGCTGTCCACCAACGTTTACCATCCAACCTGACAGAACTGGAGAGGATCTGCAAGGAGGAATGGCAGAGGATCCCCAACTCCAGGTGTGAAAAACTTGTTGCATCTTTCCCAAAAAGACTCATGGCTGTATTAGATCAAAAGGGTGCTTCTACTAAATACTGAGCAAAGGGTCTGAATACTTAGGACCATGTGATATTTCAGTTTTTCTTTTTTAATAAATCTGCAAAAATGTCAAAAATTCTGTGTTTTTCTGTCAATATGGGGTGCTGTGTGTACATTAATGAGGAAAAAAAATTAACTTAAATGATTTTAGCAAATGGCTGCAATATAACAAAGAGTGAAAAATTTAAGGGGGTCTGAATACTTTCCGTACCCACTGTATGTCTTCATTGTAACTCGTCTAGTGGCAGAAAAAGTGTAAAGCTCACAGAGACATTCAACTCTGTGCAAAGCATTAATGTGGTACCTAGAAATATATTTCAGCTGCGTAAGACAAAAGAAAAGCCACATGGTTAACTTAAAGGAAAGAATATGTTAGGTTTTACAATGAAAAGTGTCAGAATAGTCTCTGGTTCCCGCTGCTGGTGTCTGATAAAGTCTGTGTGAACACAACATCGCTGACGACTGATCGCTGTTTATCGTTTACAGATTGTTCAGAATAAAATACTGAGTATATTTTGTAGCTTTAAACATTTCCTATTTCTACATCAGTAGCAAAATACTGTAGACTGTCACATGACCTTATTATGTTGCATGTTTAATTCATTATATTGTTATATATATATTATATTGACTAAATAAATGATTGTTTAAATACATTTTATAATTAAATATTAGAAATGAATGGTACATTTATATTTATAAATTTGACCATGATTAATTAATTATATATTATATTATCTAAATTAATTACTTTTTATATATTTATATATCATTAAATAATATACATTATTAATACATTTATTTATACATTTGGCAGTTTAATTCATTCATTATATTGTTAAATAACTAAATGTTTATATTTTTATATATCCTTAAATAATATAAATTAATATTTATAAATTTGTCCTCATGTTTAATTCATTTATTATTATTATTAAATAACGAAATAACTTACTGTATATATTTATATATCATTAAAAAATCCAAATGAATAATAAATGTATATTATATTGTTTATTTGTATTATATTGACCTCACGTTTATTAGAACTAAATTACTATTTCTATATAACTAATATAAATTAATAATATATTTAATCACATTATGTTGCTTGTTTAATTCATCAAATGCCTTCAGTTATAGTCTCAGAAATGTTGTTTTGCTGTAGTCTAAAATTGTCAACTCAATACTTGATTGAACTTATTTTTTTGGTTGGTTTATTGCAAGAAAATAAATTAATGAAATGTTTTTGTTATCACTTTGGATGTATTTGTCATACTGGAAATTGCAGGTCAGGTCAAGCACATTGCATGCTGGGATGCTTCACACAGTGTGGTGTTTGGCTCACTATGCAATTTGGTAAATGCAGTAGGTTGTTTTGGTTTCCATGCATAAAATCTACTGCGCACACTGCATGCTAAAGAAAGAAAGTATGCTATTCTCAACAGCCATTGTGATGCCACCTTTGATGGTTGACAGGAAACAGAAGCGAGAAAATTGTAGTTGTCATGAACCAGTTTATCATACATGCAAATACACCATCCTCCATTCCCACACTCTCATCATACTGACTCTCTCGCCTCGTCTGACAGGTAACCAGGCTGAGTTTACCATCAATAACACCAAAGCGGGGCCGGGATCTCTGGCCGTCACCATCGAGGGCCCGTCGAAGGTCAAGATGGAGTGTCAGGAGTGTCCCGAAGGCTTTAAAGTGCACTACACACCAATGGCCCCTGGAAACTACATCATCACTATCAAATACGGCGGCCCCAACCACATCAGCGGAAGCCCGTTTAAAGCCAAAGTCACAGGTGAGCCGAGCCGGACTGATCAGAGCTGAAGTGATTGGGTTGTGTATGATGGTGTGTGGTGATGACTGTCTGGTGTTCAGGGCCGCGGCTGGTGAACGTGACTAACGCCAGCGAGATGTCCACTCTGATGGTGGAGTCGGTGAGCAGGGCGAGCAGCGTGAACTCATACAGCGCCTCTCCCAGAGCCGCTTCTGACGCCAGCAAGGTTCTCAGTCGAGGTCCGGGTCTCAGCAAGGCCTTCGTGAGCCAGAAAGCGTCTTTCTCTGTGGACTGCAGTAAAGCAGGTGAGATCTCGGGTTATTACTGGACACAAATTGAGCATGAGCCAGATAAAAGTTTATTACAGGGAACAAATTCAACAAAATGCAATAAAATGCACTTTATATACAGTCTTATGTATACTGAAGTGTGTGTGTGCAGGGGCTTAGATCACTCGGGGGACGTGTCCTCCCACATTTAATATCACGTAAATTTGTCCCCCGCACTTTTTCAGGCAAGTGTGTTTGCATAGAGGTTTTCAAGAGCCGGTGTAAATAAATATAGATTTAAATTCAAAGAGACAGGATAGTCTGTGCATGATCTGATGTTTTATTCGGACCCAGAATAAGGCGGTGCGCTAAACACTCCATGCGGTGTATGTTTCATTCATACTCGAAGCCGGAGGGCGCTCTCGCGCAGAAAGTCGTACCAGGAAATCCCTAATATGGACAAAAGCGTCTCTTGTTGTATGAAAACAGTTGTTTACTTTTCACAGAAACGCAGAAACATAAACAAATCATTATTATTGGTTATTGTCCAGCAATGTATTTGATTTCTTAGCCAATTAAAAGCTAGAAATAAGAGAAAAATGTAAGTTGCCTATACTCTACCAGATTTTTTATGTTTTTAAAGAAGTCTCTTCTGTTCGCCAATTTATTTGATCTAAAATACAGCAAAACAGTAACATTTGTAAATATTTTTACTATTTAAAATAACTGTTTTCTATTTAAATATATGTTAAAATGTAATTTATTCCTGTGATTTCAAAGCAGAGCTTTAGCATCAGTACTCCAGTCACACGATCCTTCAGAAAGCATTCTAATATTCTGATTTGCTGGGGGAAAATATATATATTATGTTGAAAACAATGTAGAATTTTTTTCAGGTTTCTTTGAATAGAAAGTTAGAAAGAACAGCATTTATCTGAAATAGAAATCTTTTGTAACATTATAAATGTCTTTATCACCACTTTTGATCAATTTAAAGCATCCTTGCTAAATAAAAGTATTAATTTCTATAATTTCTTTTCCAAAAAAATAAATAAAAGTACTCTGACTCTTAAGTTTTTGAATGGTAGAGTGTATAATGGTACAAAAGCTTTTCATTTCAGATAAATGCTGATCGTTGGATCTTTCTTTTCGTCAAAGAATCCTGAAAAAATGTACTCAACTGTTTTAAATATTGATAATAATAATTATTAAAAAAAAATTCTTGAGCAGCAAATCAGCATATTAGAATGATTTCTGAAGATCATGTGACTCTGAAGACTGGAGTAATGATGCTGAAAATACAGCTGCGCATCACAGAAATAAATTACATTTTAACATATATTCACATAGAAAACACTTATTTTAAATAGTTCACACTTTTGCTGTATTTTGGATCAAATAAATGCAAGCTTGGTGAACATAAGAGACTTCTTTAAAAACATTAAAAACCTCAGTGTTCAAAAACGTTTGACTGGTAGGATAATATTGTTGTTGTTGTTATTATTATTATTATTAAATATTTCATTTTATTAAATGCCCTACAGATTATGAACATTTTGGAGAATATGTGGGTAGATCATTTTATTAAATAATATACTTTATTAATAATAAATGATAATAATGATAGAAAAAAATATATTTATTTTAATATTAAAATATATATATATAAATGTGTATATAAAACATTTATTTATATTATTATTACAATTAAATATAATATGTAAATGTATATTAAACATGTTGATGTTTTTGTTTTATATTATTTATATTTATACATTTAAAAACATGTTATTTACTTTACTATTAATTTAAAACATTTTAAATAACATTTATTTTAGCATTCTAATTATTTTGTAAACCCCAATACAATGGCAATATTGTTTTTGCGTTTTATATACACAGAATATGCAATCATAACTCTTTATCATGGCAGTATTGCCTAAACTACATTTTATAAGGCATAATTGTGTTTTACCATTTGTTGTCTCACATACATCTCGCATGTATTTGTGTTTTTTTAACACGTATTTTGTGCGGCAGCTCGTCATACATATTTTTCCAGTTATTGTAAAAAAAAAAAAAAAAAACGAGCGAGGCAGTAGCTACTGACAGTGTCGAGTAAAAATGGACGAAGATGCGAAAAGCGAAGGAATAGACTTCATTTGACTCATTTATGCTGGAACCACTCCGATTGATTCAAATTAGTGACTTCGATCATTTAGTTTAGTGATTTTACTAGCAAAAACCAGATCGAAAGAGCCATTCATTTTCGAATTTCTACATAACTTGTAATGCTTTTAAAAAGCACAGTGATTGGTGAAACAGGTCTTTTCGAAACTCTGAATCAGTTAAACCATCGCAGAATGATTCACTGTTTCGAAGTGCTCCAATCAGATTGGTTCTCACGAATCATTTGATTCCGAGCAGGACTTCAATTCACAAATCTCCTGTTTGAAAAACAGTACTAATTAAAGACATATTATACACATACAGCGTATGTCTGCATTTAACAACTTTTAGTGATTTATGAAAAAGCACAATATTAAATGGCCAACAGAGATTAAACTAGGTGTTTGAAATCAATACACAAAATTACTGCAAGAGGAAAAAAAGCATAACTGATATATAACCTATGTGACAACTTGCCCTGTTCTCCCTTAATCGTGTCATTTGTCAATTTTCCTTTCTTTTTTTCTTCTAGTGAGCATCAGAGCTCAGTGTCTTCTGTTTTTGTTACTTACGACACAACCGTTCAAAAGTTTGGGGTTTGTAAAATTTAGTTTTTATGAAATAAAATTTATAAAATTAATCAAAGCTCGCTTTGAAGACATTTATAATGTTACAAAATATTTATATTTCAATTAAATGCTGGATGTTTCCACAAATATATTAATCAGCACAACTGTTTTCAATACAGATAATAATCATAAATGTTTCTTGAGCAGCAAATCAGCATAGCAGAATGATTTCTGGAGTAATGATGCTGAAAATTCAGCTTTGATCACAGGAATAAATTCAATTTGAAAGATATATTCAAATAAAAACAGGTATTTTATATAGAAATAATATTTTACAATTTTACTGTTTTTACTGAATTTTTGATTATATAAGTCCATCCTTGATGAGCAGAAGAGACTTCTTGTAAACACATTAAAATAATCTTACTAACCCCAAACTTTTGAACAGTAGTTTAGAATCTCGATTAGATTATATTTACCTCCTGCTCAGCGAGGCCAAATTCCTCTTTAAAATGAAACACCTCCACTGATTCAGGATTCACAGCCTCGGTCATCTTCTCTCCGCAGAGGACGACCCTGCAGCACAAGAAAATGGGAATGTGTTGGTCATCACATGTTAACTGAGACGTTAGTGGATGTTTGTCCTTCATAAAATCAGGTGGAAGTTTTACAGACAGATTTAACAATATGAGTATTACACTTTCATTTTAGACCCTCAAAAAGTGTTTCAACATCAGAAAATCATACTAGTAAAATTTGACTAACTTGTCATTTAGTTTATGCTTTTATACTAAACCACTATGAGCACACTTACTAAGGCTATAAACACCCAGGTCATGGGTTCAAATCCCAGGGAAAGCATGAACTGAAAATATTGTTTACGTTGAATGCAATGCCAGTCTCTGCATAAAAGCATCTGTTAATTGTAAATGTAACCTGACCCTAAAATCTAGGAACGTTGTTCCAAGACCAACAAGGTTGTTGGTTCATGGTCTTATTAGTCGGCAAGTTAGGTCAGAAGTCACGCACGTGAAATGCAGGGGAGAGATCAAAACAAAACAACGGTCACGAATTAGAAGTACAAAACGAGGATTTGTAAAGAAGAATGTCAGAGGATTTCGATATAAGCCAAGAGGAGACTGGTTTTCCTTTGCTGAAGTAAGGAAACTTTGCTTCCTTTGATTCTATTAAAGGGGTCATATGATACGAAAAAATAATGTTCTTTTTAGCAGCATCATATGACCCCTTTAACAAACGTTGGATTCCACGAGACTCACCGGCACATGCGCAACGCTTTGAATCCAGCAATTATTTATTTACAAATTGTAAGATCTGATTATGACAAGTGTGGTATAAAAGCTTTTGTTTATTAGAGGAATAATTGGTTATCTGGAAAATGTTACAGTGCGACCATGCTTTTGGATGCCGTTCGACCCCATAGCCTACATTTACGC